CCTCCTCCTGCAGGCCTGCCGCGCGTGCCGCCTTCTTCACCTCCACGAAGGCGCTGCGCTTGGCCTCGCCCGTCTCGGGGCTGGGCGGCGCGAAGAGGCGGCCGTTCTCTTCCAGGCCAAAGTAGCTGCCGGAGGCGCGGTACTGCTGCGGCGTGCACACCAGGTCCTCCTTGGAGGCTGGTGCGGGCCGCTCGGCAAAGCGCCCCCGGCTCCCCACCAGCCCCACGCTGCCGCCCTCCGCTGCCTCGTCCGGGAACTTCCTCTTCCCTTTGCCGCCGCCTGGGGTGTTGCCGTCGGGACTCAGCTCTGCCTCCTGGTGGCCGCTGCTGCTGCTGCCGCTGCTGAGGCTCCGGGATGGGGAGCAGCTGCTGCCTCCCCGGGAGTTTTCCAGCTCCCGGGCCAGGTTGTGGAAGTCCGTGGATGGCTTCGCAGTGCCGCCGCCGGCGGCCGACTGGTTACTGCTCTCTGGGGAGGGTGCCGGGTAGTGGTGGATGGGGCCGGCTTTGCAGAACTTGGGGCCCGGGCCCAAGGGTGTCTCCTGTTGCTGCTGCTGCTGGTCTTTGCCGCTGCCGCCGCCGCCCCCGTGGTCTTTGGTGCCCACGCCGCCGCCTTGTTCGTCTTGGGGGCTCAGATCAGCGCTATGCAGTCTCTTGGGGCAGCGGAAGCGCAGATGCGCCACATAGGGGAACTCAAACTGGAAACGCTGACTGCATTCCAGGCATGTGTAAGGGGACGACCCTGCATAGTGAGCAAATACCACACACATACACACGCACACCACATGATTACTCAGCATCGCCCCCAGGCCAGTTTGCATCAACCCCTTTACAAATTCACCTTCCTCTCTCAGGGTCTAACTCTATCAGACTTGATCTAACGTTTTCTTGTGATCTGGGGGAGCAAAGTAATTAAGCCAGGTGTCCTCCGATTTCTCCTCACCTATCTGCCCAGCTGCATTCCGGACTACATCTCAGAAGCTTCCTACGAGATGCACAAAAGGAGGGAAGGTGCGCCCAACGCGCCGGGGTGTGCCCCGCCACTCCCTGCGTCCCCCCCCCCGCCCCCGCCCCCGGCTATCGAAGGGCCCCCACGCAGGTCGAGAGCCAACATACCATTCATTTTGTTGTGGGATCTAGAGGGGCAGAGCAAGAGTAACTCAGTCAGTTCTTTCCCGTACCAAACAAGTAACTCTTCGTCTTTGGCAATTCTGCGGAGGGAGCGGTAAAATAGCTGTCCGTTTTTGATATAGGCTTCAAGGTTCTGTTCTTCTTTATCTCTGGCTGATTGGACCAGACGCAGCCACATGAGACCTTCTGAGGAACCATTTGCTGCTGATGTGTCCACCTACAGTTTAAAAAAGAAGAAAGACAAGAAGACAAGAAGGAAGGAGGGAAGGACGATAGAAAGAAAAGGGGAGAGGGAGACCCAAGTGAGAAAATGAAGCCAGAGAAACCAGGGCCATTTCCTGTGAGATCAAGCTTTCAAAAACTTGACCCAAGTTGACACCCATCCTCATGTTTGCAACCAGCAGGCAAGATAACCATCCTCTGAGTCGCTGCATTAACTCAATCCCGTAGATTATTTAAATAATCGTTTTTATATATTGGTTGAACACCAAATAAATTATTACAATTTAAGTTCGCTTTAGTCTCTTGACAATTTACTTTTAAATTATCCCACATTACAAAAGTGTGGAGGAATTTTGCTTACTTTGCAAGTGAAAAGCAAACTTGGATTTTAGCAACTACTCTGTGGCACCCATATTCCTAATTTTGACTTCAACAGTTAATAGCTTTTCTTTGTAAAGAAAGAAAAAAAAAAGTGAGAGGTCTTTTATATTCAGACTTAAACCTGTGAATTTAATATGTTCTAAGGTCAAAATCATTAACATTTTTATTTAAATACAAACTCTGGGCACCACCTAACATTACCATAGAAAGTTACTTAGACCTCTTAGGTTGGAAGGCATATGTACCTAGTATTTACAGAAGTATTTACAGAAATACTTAGTATGCAAATAGCCTCAGCCCCTAGGAAGTTTCCCAGAGTTAAGGAAGTTGTGTTCATGACCAGGAAAGGCCAGAACTGAGGCACCGATTTAGTGTATTCCAAATCAAATATTGTCATTTATTCCAGAAAATTAATTGACAATAATTTGAGTTTAATTTTCTTTTTCTCATGTTTGGAACGCTTGCATCATTGCATTTCCTACACTCAGAATCTGTCTCAGCTTGTCATAAGAATGATTCTCCGTCCATTTTCAACAGAACATTACTCTCATACACCTACGCAGCACTGGTCAAGACTTACCCGGAAGATATAAGGAACTGTTCTCTTGTCGGTAGACTTAAGGGCTATGAAAGCTATACTGTCGTACAAGGAAGTGTGGCTCAGGACGCAGGGGCCAAATATAGCATTCTCCGGGATGTCGCAGGTGGTATAAACGCTGGTAAAAATATCTGTCAGACATTGTTGGACAGCCTTGGCATCTCCATCCCAGATGCCTCGCTGGATCCCCGAATCCTCCATCTCTGGAGACAGATACACAGACAACAAATAAGTTTCATTCCTTCTTTACCGCTATGAATCCAGGTGGAACATTTCAGCTACTAGACAGATTTTTCTTGAACTCGCCTGATTTGTATAGCTCTTGTTTCAAAAATAAGCAAGTGGCAGATTAAATCTGGCATCTTTTAAAGATGCCAACTAAGGAGTGCTTTCCTTTCCTGTGTTTATTTTCTGTTTGGAATAGGGAGCTCTGGAGTGGATTGCTGCTTGGGAGAAAGAAAGAAAAAGGAAAAACAGGCTTGGAAATGACTAAGCCATTTTTGCATCACCTTGGCAGAAGATGGGGTAGGCTTTGTGGGGTAATGGTGAGGGGAGAACAATATGATTTTTAATAGCCTATAGACTTTCCTGACTGAAAGAAACTTCTAACCTATGGTGAAAAGTTCCTCTCCTCTAGTCTCTCCTCTCCCCTGCTCTTCTCTCCTCTTATGTATTGGACTGGGTACCCAGGAGCTGACTTTTTTCTTCCAAAGAGGGGAGCAGCATTAGCGAGCAGGCGGAGACAGCCAAGCATGGCGAATGGATTTCTAGTGGAGTGTCAGGGCCACTGATTCCATGTCAGCTAACCTTTCTCTGCAGCCTACAAGAGGGGATGTATGTCTGCTCATTATCATAATCTACCACCGTCCCTCCGAGGCTTTAATTAAAAGCAGCAAGCAGAGGTAATTATTTTTTTCTCGACATGCTTATTTATGGATGAGGGTGAATCCCAGTTACGTTGTTATACAAGGAGTGGATTGAGTCACATGTGGCTCCTGAAGTGAGCAGGTACGGGGCAGACCTGAAGTGTCCCCTGTCTGAAATACTGTATGTGTAATGACTGGTGAATTCTAGCTCCCCCAGATACCTCAGTCTGAGCAAGAGGGGGCAGCCCCGCTTGAATAGTCCTCAGTGGGCTCTCCAGCTGTTTAATCCACAGCAATTTAGAAAGTAATGCCCCAATGGAGGGCTGTCCATTAAGTTGTCATAAAGGGACATTTCCCTGCCTCTTCCACTGGACATCTACTAAAAGACTTATCATAAAAAAAAAAAAAAAATCGAACAACAACCAACAAAAAAAAAAAAAAAAAACCCAGCTATTTACATTTTTAAACTGACTTCAAACTAGCTGCATTGTTCACTTTTTCTCACTTACGGAAAGGTGTCCCCAGGCTGGTTTTTCCCTAATAATGTTGCCATTGATAATAATTCATGTATATTTTGTATAATTTAAGTAGCAGCAAAAGGGTAGAGCTAATTCTTTTCCTGAGGGGCTGTTCATTGTAGGATACTATTAGTAATGCCAATTTTTATCTTAATGTTTATTAACCAATTAATCTTGCAAATGTGATTACAAGGTAGTGGTTGTTTTTGTTCTTGTTTCCAGCTAACAGAGACTGAAACTTAGGTCAGCCTCTTCCCATCCACTCTGCTGCATCCCCCAAATGTCAGACGTTGGGCTGTATCTGCCAGACAGCAGACAGAAGAGAAAATACCCATAAAGTAAAAACTTACTTTATCACGCTACAGTACCTATAGCTGGGCATTTTCACCTTACACAAGGTAGTCTTCCTGATTTCCAATTGCAGATAAAATATAATTAAAAAAAAAAAAACTTCAGAGTCTCTCATCTTTTCAACAGAATCCTATTCTCCCCTTTTCAATTTCTTCCAATTCAGCGTTTTATGCTCCAATTTCTCTCTTCCTTTTTAAGTCTCTTTCACACAAGCGTTTCATTGTGCCGGGAGGTCGCCCCGTCACTTCGGGGAACAGCAGGGATGCAGTCATTAAAATGCAGTTCTACCTAACAATATGGTGAAAAGGTCTTCGCTACGCCGTGCTAAGAGCGGTCGGTTTTGCCTCGGCCAGCGCCGCCAAGAGCCTTGCGCTAGTCACAATAACCGCTGGGGATGCCGACTTCAGTGGCGAGAGTCTGGGTTCGCCCGCCGTGCACGGTCGCCTTCACCACCCAACCCTTCACAGCTCTGCAACCCGCTCTAGGCTCCCGGTTCTCGTTTGCCTGGTGGATCCTTCTCAAAGCAGGCTGCACTTGCCGAAAGACAGTGGCTGCCGCCGGCCAATCTCCCTCCCCTCCCGGCGCAGGCATTGTCTGGCTGCCGCGCGCTCCCCAGTCGCTCGCTTCTCCAACGAAGTGCTCCCCACCCGCTCCTCCTTTTGTATAATCTCATTGGTAGTACGGATCCCCTCAACAATTATTTTCCCCCCTCTGCAGGAAAATGAGGAAACGGGGGACAAAATTTTCCACTCTCCCCACCAAACCTGCCTTCCTCCCATCCCCCTCCCGCAGCATTGCAAATAGACTTACCAGGAATAAGGTCAGGATCAAATTGTCCAAATAAAGCCACCTGGTATCGGGGAGATGCGATCGTGTACTTCTTTTTGCCTTATCAGTATATGTCCATGTCAAGGGGGTGTTGCTGTGGCTGTCCTGTAGGCTCTGCGTAAGAGAGGAGAGAGAGAGATGGAGAAATGGAAGAGAGAGAGAGAGAGAAACAGAGAGAGTTGTACAGATGGACCCGATGCAGTGACTGACTGGCACGCAGACACACACTTTTTGTTTGCTGCACATAATCTGCCCAATGACGCGTGACAGCCCACGTCCCCTCCCTTTAACTCTTTGCTGGGCTGGGCGCTCCCTCCGGCACCGCCTGCCTCGCAGCCATCTCCCCGGCCTGGCTGTGCCCAGCAGGTCCTGCATGCCTTTCCCGAGTGGCAACGCCTCTCTGAGCGCCTCCCGGCCCACCACCTCCTAAAGCTCCGGCCCTCTGGGACTCCTAGGAAGGAAAAATCAGTTTCGGGGTCGAAAAAGGAGGTACCGAAAAGACTAGAGACATCCTTTTCTGTTTTGCTTGGCACTTGGAAAACCTCTGGCCAAGAGCAGGCCACCCAGTGCGCGCGCGGATCCCGCGCGGATTTCCCCGGAGTAGGAGTTCTGTAAAGGTGGGGAGGCGATTAGGGATTCACTGACCACTGACCTGCCGCTGTTTTGCGCAGCTAGTTGCCTGGAAGGCAACAAACGGACGCCAGCTTTCTCCAGCGGCGCCCATAATACCAAGTTCTCCGAGCAAGATTCAGAAAGGATGCGTTTTGGTGAGAATCTTGCTCAGCCTTCCTGCGGACCCGAGATGGGTTAGCGGGAAGAGGGTGGGGAGTTGGGAGGCTGCCAAACCTTAGAAGGGTACTGGGACACAGATATCTGGGTTGGGGGGTGGGGTTAGGAAAACCCAGGTGACTGAACTCTAGATGTTCCTGTTCTTCCACCCTGTCAGGTACCTCTGCATAGTTCCGGGGTGGGGGGATCTCATGGTGGAGACAGCCATGACCATAAGACCTCGGGGTGAGGGGAAAGGTGGTTCAATTTTTTTTTTTTTTTAAACCGAGATGGGCTCCGGAGAGATTTTCACGTCCAGCCAGTGGTGAAGTAGATGGAGTTGCCACGGCCGTCTCGGGAGCCTCGTTTGTGCACTAAAGCCACTCAGAGGCGCTGACTCGCGCCTTCAGTGCAGCATCTGACACTAATGACTTGAGGTCTTCAGCAGCCTGGAAGTTCACTCCTTCAACAGGGACCGCAACACGTTTCGCTATGGGATCTCAGGGTTCTTTTCCGCCGTTCAATTCTCTACTCTTAAGGGAAGAAAGGCCTTTGAGCGGTATAGATGCTCCCACCCCTCCAGCTCCACCCCCACCATCACTACATTGAAGTGGACAATCTGCCGGCTTTAGCATAAATCGGATTGTGTAGCCGGCCAAAGTGGACAAGGCAGAGCCACAATTTAAGGATGAGACAGCCTCATTTTTACCCACTACCCCCTCCCCTTGTTAAAATAAGGTGAGTATACTGGGGACTGGCAAAAAGGGGCTTAAGAGAAAAAAGGTGTGTATAGTGTTAGTTTGACGTCTCTCCGGAACCCAGTGGGATAGCGAGGCACTGAGCGCGTTTCCTGGCAGGCGCCTGCGATCCAAGAGAAACCAGAGAAAGATTTTGCCATGGAGAAATAGAAAAGTGCGGGGAATTTGTCACTTAGTGAGTTCTCTTCTCCTTGGTCTCTCCCCACCCCCACCCCCTTCTCCTTTCTGCCCAGCAGCGGTCAGCCCCCCACTCAAGTTCAAGTCCTTCTGATTAGACAGAGCCGGCTGCCTCGGATTAAGCTGGGACTCTGGGAAGGAAAGGCTGCAAAATCCCCATATATTGTGGAGAAAGGGATGGTTTTCCCTTCATTTCCAGGCTAGCTACTGACGTTTCAAAGAAAGCTTTTTAAACTTCAGTTTCCTGTCATCTTAAAATATTTCTCTTCTGCAAGTGTGTGCAGTTTTAAATTGTTAAGCTGAGGGCGACTCGTCTAGTGACCAAGGCTGTGTGCCATGGGGACTCTTCCGTGTCTGTGTATAAGAATCTGCAGCTGTTGTTAGCTACCAATTGCCTTATGACTTGCTGCCTCATTGAATACCAGATTCATCTCTCTCTAACCAATGAAAGCATCTTCTTTCCCCTAATCACTTGTTTAAAGAAAGGGGTAGGGGAGTTAGAAATGTCAAAAATATTGTCTCAAAATTCTAGAAAATAACAATAAGAGTTGAAGAATAGTGGCCAGATATTCAGTGAGTTCAGAGAAGAGAAAAAGAGGAGAAAGGGCAAGAGAGGCACAGGTGTAAATGACGCTAAGGTAAGAAAGGGAAGTGGCCATTAGACAGCTGTAGTCCCTGGAAACTGCAACCCAATACAAGTAAAAGTATGTGTGTGGGGGTGGGGGAGGCAGGGAGGGAACAGAAGGGACAGAGTTCCAGGAGCCTAATTCCATTAGTTTGTTAAACAGAAAATTCTCTAGTGCTTTCTTTTATTGTTATTTAGAGAATAAAAAGTTTGCCTTTTCCAGGAAAAGTCACAGGGTTCAATCTATCCATGCAAGCTACTTAAAAAAAAAAAAAAAATACTTCTTACATATTGTAAATATAAAAGCATCCACTCCATAAGTGGTCATTTAGAACACCTTCACCTCTAAGTAGGGGGCATTTTTCTTTTGCCTGGCCTTTCCTTTCTTAAATATTGAGGCATTTAGACTGGCTCCTTTGAAGTACTGAAACCGAGGCTTCGGTTAGTATAAAATGAAGAAAGAATGTTTTCTGTTCTTAAATTGGAGGTGGTGGAGCTCGACTTTCCAAATGGAGAAAACAGCTGATTCTATGCATCAGAGGAGATGTTTATTGAGAATTTGATCCTCACATGCTGTTTCCTCTAAGTTTCACTGTTCTGCCTTCTTAACCATATTTTCACCCCTGGTTTCAGAAGAAGGTCCCTAAATAAAATACTTTCAAGCATCTTATGAATCCAACCTTTTGTTATATGAATTAAATGATATTTAAAAAATCCCACTAATATGGGTAAGATTATTTTGAAATGTCTATTTGGGAGATTTTC